AATATGATTTTTGCTCCCTCTGGAGTAATTATGAAAATAATAGTGAAAAAAATTCCACATTTTTTTTTTGTTTTTGCTTTGGCATTGTTTTTCATCTTCTTTTGTTCATCATTTATCTTGTTCCATTTTTGCCTCACAATAATTTGCAGTTGGTAGCATTATCCTTAGCAGCTCTTTTAATATCCTTTGTGCACTATTGTCGGTTGTCGGTTGTTGGTGACGATGAGTAAGTGATGAATTTCATGTCCACCTCATCTGGAATTGTGTTACCTCCCACTTGATGCTTTTCCAACTGTTTAAGGCTGAGTTTGGAATTGCTGTTGTTGATTGCTTTGGTTATTGTGTTTCCAATGCAAATGAGCAAAAGCACTCATTTTGCTATATAGTATATATTCGTATACTCGGATTAGCAGCTTCTTGATGTAAGCCTATTGTTGTAAGTCATGGCATTATATTTTCCATTTGTATGAGTTTGTATTTGTCATTATGTTGCTTTAAGTAAACAGTCTCAAATAGCAAACGAAACCTAAACTAAATCACAGAAAACCCATTAATATTCTTAAATTGGACAGGAAAGCTTTTGTTGTGTCATTTTTTGTTATAAATATTTGTTATAATGTTATAATATCTTGAAAATCGCAATGCATATAGACAGAAGTAAAAGTAAACCATGTCTTTGAGCTGACATATAAAGCTTATGTATCAAATACTCGTATATTACAATTTGTGTTATAAATGCTGAGTTTATTTTTATATATAATAATTTGTTAGATAAAAAGTAGAGATTAAGTAAAAAGTAAAGATTAAGTAAGGGCGGGACAAACACAGCTAAATCAAATAATAATCATTAAATATTTAACGTATATATTAATATTTAAATGTATAATGAAACTTTTAAAAACAGACCAAATTTTTCGTTATGCCCTGATATAGCGATAGCTTGATGACTTGTAAAGAGAAGAAATAGAAGATTAGGATTAACATTTCCTTTGTACAGTGCTATAGTGAGAGAGGCGAAAGTATTGCAACGCTTTTGGATTATTAAATAAGGAATAAGGAACTCATTTGTGAATGTCGAAACTCTAAGACCTCATCGAGGTCTTGGCCTCATTGAGACAGTGAATGAATTGATGATGTATTGAATTTTTTACCCAAATATGCACCATGATATTTGCAAATCACTACGCACTTCTAAATAATTCTAAGACCACTGATGATGGGTATTTCGCACTACTCGAAACAGCCAAAAATTCAGTTAATGAATAAAATAATAAAATTATATTGTTGTAATTTAATACTGTTCAAAATACCTCTCTATTGAAAACAAACGGACGTTAAAAATCAATTTAATAAATATTTTAAAAACATGTTATATATATAAACTCTATTATGTAGAGTGTCATAGGCGCGGCAAAATTGTTTCTTTCGGGCTATGTTATGTAGACTGTCACATCAGTATTGTGCCTAAACTTAAAAGGAAATATAGATGTACTTACTTTTAATTTGTCACCAAAAATAACTAGCAAGAAAAAACTCATGCTGTTATCAGTACTTACAAAATTATACGTCTTTCCTTAAAATCGGGGAGTGTAATAACTAGATTATTAGCGCTTTATAAAATAGGCTATGTTGCTTCCTAAAATTTTACTTCAAAACGTACTAAAATTGTAGTAATTTGTTCCTAAAAGACGTAAATTCTAAAATTTATTACTGAACAACACTGTTTTGCCTAAGTACCGAGGTACAAATAGCCCGGCTCTCGTACCAAAATTTGAACCGACATACTGATTTTTCTCTCACTCTCACTCTCAATTTTATAATTTGCATTGAAAACAACAACTACATAACATGGCCCTAATTAGTAAAATTTTTATGTACCAATAATTTTTAGCAGTCAATTTTAAGGATGTAGACAGCAAAATGTCTACGAATAGATATCTTCAGCACTTTTTAAAAGTATTACGTCTCTGTTCAATCGGATATCAGAATCGTATAAAAGCAACGAATGATTATTTAATTTAAGTGTCTAAATCATCATTGTTATCCGTAGGAAGTTAGAGTTCTAAATATTTTTGAGTTAAAAGCTGATATGGTCTTAATCTAGAACTGTTACGAAATAAAGAGGAAATTTTCTGTATATTTTTAATTTTATATAAAGTTGAAAATATCATAACTTTTAATACAAAGCTATTTTAGAAAATATGTGTTTCTATAAAATTAAAATTAAAATTCATTTGAAATTTAATTACTGAAAATTCACAATATGCAGAGAGATAATAATTTTTTAATTCAAACTCGAAGTGTGGATGCAAGCAAACATTTGGAACAGTTTGCGTATTTCAGTTTAGGCAAAATTTCACTCTGAAGGCTTTTCCATGACATACCAAGTCAAAGCATAAAAATAGCTTGCCATAATCATGAGCAGCTTGTAAACTTGATACTAGAAGTGAAGTAAAGTTGAAGTGTGACAGGCACAACTACTAAATGCAAGGACATGCCACTATGTGCAATATATGCTGTCAAACAAACATTAAAGAAGAAAACCTAAAAAAAGCTCACAAATATGCACACGGAGAGGATGTAGTCTTATATGAGCATGCACAAATGCATATAACAGCAAACGTTTCCGGTTGATGATGACGACAAATAACGTTGTGGATGGCAAAGATGTTGACGCGAATGGTAACAACAACAGCTACAACAACAGCAGCAACAACAACAACGAGAACAACAATTGTATAGTAAAAAGATGATGTCAACAAAGCTGAATTTAGCAATGCAACTAGTTGAAGCAATGACACACTAAAGCAACAAAAACGAACATCGAAAATGTTGACAACGAAAACATTTTATTTGAGTGCATTATGCAACATTTTCCGCCATAACCGGAAACGGAACTGAATTGTGCAAAGAAAAAAACATTTAAATATTTTGCACATTTTGCATATACACAAACAGGCATTTGATATCTATCCACTTTCACATATTTTCATTTAAGTTGTGAATAAAAATTAAATCTTTAAAATGGTCAACAAAATTTCGGAATAAAATGTTGAATGTCTGAGTAAATCTTATTTCAATGCTCTTTGTATGAATAGATACCAGCTTGAAAAAAGGACAATTACATAGAATGGACACAGTCATGAACATGAAGTCTGTATAAATATTCAAAACTTTGAGTTCAACTCATAGAAAACACAAATACAAAATTTACTTATCAAATTGCATTTCATTAAAAAGTTGCTCGTACTTAAAGGACATACGAGTTTCATTTCAAATAAAAATAAATAAATAAAAATAAAATAAATAAATTTTTTTTCTTAATTAGTCTTTCTATTTCATTTTCATATATGCTGTGTCATTTTTAGTTTACTTTCTACTTTGACACAATTTATCGGAAAAACCTCGAATAATAGCTACAATTCTCCGTTGACGGCAGAAACACTTGAATTGAAGAATATTTTAGATAGTGCTTTTTTATTAGAGACCTAAAGTTAAGCACCACATTTAATATTTATTGTGAGAACCCAGTCTTAACTAAATCATTCTATTGATGGTAGAAACTCTTGGTACAATACATACGCCTTTTTTATTAAGAACCTAGGTGAAAAAACATTATATCATTCCGTCGATGGTAAAAATTTTTTTCAATAAGAAAACATCTGAAATAATGCCTTTTTTTCTTAGAGACCTGAGACATAGAACCATTTTTAAGAGTTTTTGTAAGAATTCAGTCTTAACTATAAGACAGTCAGTGTTACGACGGCAGAAACTCTTGAATAGACAAATATTTTAGATAGTGCTTTTTTATTAGAGACTTGAAATTAGGCACCACATTTAATATTTATTGTGGGAACCCAGTCTTAACTACATCATTCCATAGATGGTAGAAACTCATATGCCTTTTTTGTTAAAAACCTAGGTGAAGAAACACTATATCATGCTGTCGATGGTAAAAATTCTTTCAATAGGAAAACATCATTTTCAATAGTTTTTCTAAGAATTCAGTCTTAACTATCTTAACTAGAATAACAGTCTTAACACAGGTGAGATAATATCTATTCTGTTAAAGACCTGAGGCGAAACAATACCATTATTGTGGGAACTGAATCTTAACTACATCTTTCCGTCAACGGTAGAAATGGAAAACATAGAGGATAATGTATTTTATGCTTAGAGAATTTAAGATGATGAAGATGAGACCTTGAATATTTATTGTGATAACCCAGTCTTAACAACATCATTCCGAGGATGGTAAAAATTCTCTTAATAGGAAAATTTATGATATAATGATAAACAATAATCCAGTCAAGGCGTAGAGAGCGATTATGAAGAAATCTCGCTGTTAGTAGAGAGTAAAAGCGCTCAAGTGCACTGATTCAACTAGCTTCAATATAATTAATCATTTTTGTTTGCCATATTGCTTAAGAACTCGTCAAGGATATTGATCAAAAACTATTGGATTTAATAGTTTTTTCTGTTTTTGAATTCTACTAACGCAAACAAAAACAACGTTATCTTTAATCTAGTAGAAACTGATTCGACTGATTTATTCTTGAGTATTATATTAAAATATAGCAAAGAGCACAACAAAATAAATACAAATATAAAAGTAACAAAGATTTAGTTTATAATTTCGAAATTGATATTGGCAGTTGTAAATAAATTTTCACAAATATAAGAGTAACAAAATTGACTTAACAGATATGTTGAGGTCTTTACTGTGATCGACAACAAATAATTTTACTACGCAATCCATTTGCGTTTGGGTTTGGTTAATTGACATATCTTAAGATTAATGTAATTAATTAGTTTTCAGATATTTTCATTATTTTGCTTAAATGTTTTAAATTTAACTATAAAGTTTTGCTATGATATTGAAATTTATTTTCTTTTCTTGAATTATACGTCACTTAGAAATAAAATCATTTGTATATAATTAAAAAAAAATTTTCTTCTAAACGAAATTTTTTTTATATATTTTATGCACTATTATGACTGCTAAATTTTAAGCAAATTTTATTACGCGTATTTTAAATTTTAATAAGTTTTTTTTAAAATAAGATATGAATACTGAAAGTCGAGCTGAATTAAGAAGACAACACGTTGAACCACAAACTTCTGGTACTAACTCAGTGGAACTGATTTATTTCTATATTTAATACATTATCGTATATGTCCCGATTTATAGAATACTCAATTTAAATATATATTTAAACTAAGTTTTAATTATTTAAATAAATTTTTTAGAAGCGTTTTATGATGCTGCTCCTGAACGACCACCTCTTGGTACTAGTCCCGTGGAAATGACTTGTCCAGGTTGCCACAATAAAATAAAAACCGAAGTTACTTTCAGATATAAATTCGCAACTCATTTTATTGCAATTGTTTTATGTTTAATTGGGTAAGTTAATTTTTAAGAATTTAATTTAACTTCTACTTTTGAAAAGTATTATTCATTATTTTGTTTCTATATACTGTTATAAATAAAGTAAGTATTATAAATGTTTTTGTTGTGTAAAGAAAGAGATAATGGAAGCTATACAAATCATATTTTGTCTAAAATTCTGAAAAGACGAATTGATTTAGCAAAGTCTTCTTAATTTAAGATTTAAAGAATCATGTTTATGAATGATACACAATACAACTTAGGGTAACTATGTGTTGACAACCCTGTAAAGAATGATAACACATGACGTTTATGGGAACTATTTTTGTAATTGTGATTAAATAGAATGGAAATAATAATAATTGATTTTAATAAAGAAATTACACAAACATAATACTATGTTATATCCCCTTCTAAGAATAATAATCTGTCTGTTTATCAATCGGTCTGTTTGCCTTTATGTGACCAAAACAGTGGCTTCATTTTCTAGTTTATTAAAACAAACTTTTCGTTACCGGAAAAAATTAAGAAATAGTTGTTTATATCCTTTAATGACCTCAATATAGTAGTCGAAAATGTATCTATATTTTATTTACACACATATATTAGGTTTACCAAGACAACAGATAAATATAGAGATTTCTGAATTAAGAGCTAGCGATATAAATATGTGACAAAGCACTAAAATTTTTTAACATCATCGACGCTCATCTGACTTAATACATGTATTTCAAAAATTAATTTATACATTTTATATATTTCACATAATAAATTATTTATCTAAGTAAAAGGCATTTAAGATTTGGCCAAACCAAAACAATATTTTTTCCTTTTCTCAGTGTACACATTTTTGACATATAGAAAAATCAGATGAATTACTTACACTCGTAAATATTATGTTAATACTAGCTTTTTTTAAATAAATAACTTATATTAAAATTAATCAATATATATTAATTCCATTTTTTCAGTTGTCCTATTTGCGCTTGCATTCTGTACTGTACACCTTGCGTCCGTAAAACCATACACTATTGTCCTTTATGTGAAAAATTCTTAGGTACCGGCAATACTCGAAATTTGGATCATTGAAAATTGTTAGGATCTTATACCGTCGTAATTCAGGAAAAGTGTTTGGATTAAAATCAAGTAAATAATTGAAACGACAAAGCAAAACGGTATTAAGTTAACTAATAAGTTGATTATTTAATACGAATTTTTCAGTAGTTTTAAATATATTATATAGTACAGAACTTTTAAATAAAAATCATAAGTCTTATGGAAATGGAATTTATCTTAAAATATGAATTTAAAATATGAAATTTTTTATTTTAAAATTAAGTCCAAATTTAAGATAATTATGATTAGCCCAAATCCATTCCAATAAATAGTTCATTTTATATGAGCATATAGTAGATATTGAGAAATAAATTGCAATATTCATTTTTATAACCACTTTTGGAACCAAAACAAATCAGTCTATTTTTTAACATATTAAAATTAAAAGTTTCCAAGTACTTCTGCAGAAAAATATCTATAACGATCTTAAGAGCTCTATGGCACCATTCAAATATTAATCATATATCCATACTCCGTTTTAAGGAACTTAAGGATTCCACAAATGCTTTTCAATTTTATAAATTATGTGCTATCTAAGGTTCGTTAAATGATTTCCTAATTTCAGTCAGGACTGTCCTCCTCCATATTATTGAAGGTTTTCCACGTCATTAAAGATCTCACTCTTAAAACTTACTGGTATATTCATTCCAACCATACTTCCATTTTTATTCTACTGGTTGTTAACTCCTAAAAGTTTTTCAGTGGAAATTTTTCTAACTTACCATTTTTGAAGAATATATTACAAACATATGTGAAACAAACCATGTTTCATTACTATAAAGAAATAGCAATTTTACACAAATATTAAATATTGTTGTTTATTTAAAAGTGTTTGTTGTGCTTTCAATCCATATTTTTATATATTCCAAAACTTGGCTTCTGTCATATGTGTCTGTTGCGTAAGACTTGTTGTATCCTGTTTTACTAAACCGTCGAGTGAAAAGTTACTTCTTAAGTGAAGTAAAATTTACGTTGTTTCAAATATAAGCCAATTCTTTAAAAATCCACATTGCTGCTATTTTTCAATTTCTAAGTTAATTACTTGGAAATATGTTTTTTTAATTATTTTTGATAGGTTTAGGTTAAATTATACCGGCGATCTCTCCCAAGGGATCTACTTAGGGCACATTGTGTTACCACTTAAAACCTTTGGCAAAGCTTATAATGCTATTCAGAGTCTTATTAGTATTAGTTTTGATGGATTATTAATATAATATATATGCTATACATTATCCAGATGTTATCGCTTTCGGTAGTTTACAACATTCAAATCAAAATTCAGAACCCTAAGTATTAAATTTTAAACACAGTATATCTGAATAAGGATGTTATCTAAACACCGCTTTCTCTAAGAAACTGGAACTACTTTTTTAAAAATTTAGATATCGAGAATCAAGTGTGTCTCGATTATGCCATTTTTTTTATGTAATGTCTAGGGTTGGTTAAAATTTTCTATAAATAGAAGACATATCGTCGACATAGTGAAGAAAATTATTTGCTAATTTATAAATTAAAAAATTAGGAATAAATTATATATATATATTCGTATACACAAATAAAATTTTAATTTATTTTATTTTAACTTTTCAAAGTGTCAAATAATATTTTTAATAATTTTTAATATTTATTTCAATTATTAAAAAAAATTTTATAAAAATGTCTGTTTGATTGCAAAACTTAGATTTAAATTAAATAGGTAAGCAGATTTAAGCAATTACTAAGACAGTTTTAATAAAATATTTTTAATGAAATTTATTATTAAAAGTGTTAACTTTGGCGTCACCATTTGAAGTCAATGATACAATTCCTTCTAAAATATGAATCATCCTTAACTGCTGTATTGAATAAGCCCAACGTCAGACACCAACAACTAATGACGTACTATTTTATTAAGGTAATACCATATAACGTTATCAATAGTATACATTTCATAAAATTATAATGCATTATAAAATTGAAATTATATATAAAGTAAATTGCATGTATTGAATTCACACGAGAATTTTGTTTTTATATTTTAAGTTTTTAAAAGTATATATAGAACATGTCTGAAAGACTTGGACGTCATTCAACAATTGCTTATTGCCCCAATTGCGGTCAACATGTTAGAACATTCACTAGTTATGAAATTTCTCTAAAGACGCATTTGCTGGCCTTACTTTTGTGTCTATGTGGGTAAGTAAATTACGATTTACGATTTTATATGAGAGTACAAAAAATTTTTAAGGACGAAGACCATATAGTTAGCTAATGTCTTTATTTCTTTTTTCTTGTTATTGTATTTATATTGTAACGAGGTATTCTAATTAGGTAATATTAATATTTATAAGAATACATATATGGGAAACAGATCTATAATAAAATCATATTATTGATCAGTTACGAATAAAGTATGTAGACTGTTAAATAAAGAACTTATTGATAGTATCTCTCATTGAGGATGCATATTTGAAAGCTAACAAGTATTAAATTAGTTTTATTAAAAAATTTGTATAAATCTCAGAATGGTTATAGGCTTCTCGGGTAGGTATGTAGAACTGAAGCCAGTTATTGTTTAGTTTGATGAAGTGATAAACAATAATCCAGTCAAGGTATATAGAGAGGTTATAAAGAAACCTCACAGCTAATAGAGAGGTAAAGTGCTCAAGAGCACTGACACCACCAGCCTCAACATAATAAAAATCTGATTTAAAACTGTAGAAATAGAAAAATTGTTTATCTATATTTGTCTTTTCATTTTCTTATATTATATTTGAATAAAACTGCAGATATGGATATAAGGTCGCTTTCTCAGTATATTATGATAGATTTGAAAAAAATTAAATATTATTCGTTTTCCTTACATTGATTAACTATTAATTTATATACACATGTGACAGCATATGTAAAAATCAACATTAATTGTCAAAGCTTTATAGGGGTATCTAAGGTTCCATCTAACTACGCGGATCACATTTCCTTTCATATTTAACTGTAGTATGAGATAGTGTGTAGTAAGCAAGTATTATTAACAAAATTCTTGTATTATTAAGAATTTCCTTCGGAACGTACATATTTTGCTTGTTGACTAAGTTTTAAGAGGAATAACTTATGATCACTAATTTTTTTTTATATTATGTTATTTATGTGAAATATTTTCTATTTTTATAATAGGTGCTGGTTCTGTTCTTGTATACCTTATTGCTCAACATGTGTCCATGATATTGCACACTACTGTACACGATGTGGGATGTATTTGGGTAATTCAAGTTTTTAATCAATAGCTAATGGATTTGTAAGAAATAGCTATATTAATCAGTACACATAGAAAAATATAAGCGAAATGTATCTATTGAAAGTTATTATGCCATATATATACAAATAAAATTGAATTCATTAAAGCAATAACAAAATCGTTTCATTTTATTTAAACTAGTATTATATATTCAATGTTTGTATATTATTACTTTATTTTTTACTTGCATGTACCTTTTATTAATATATAAATAATGCAACAAATAATGCCTCTACAAACAGAATTGTATTGAAATAAAAAATATAATTAATTAATTCAATTATTCTACAGCTACTTTATGATTTCGTTCTAATATAAACACAGCAAGTGAATTTGTTAATAAAACTTTCACAGCAAATTAACAAAACTCCATAAAAATGTGCAAACATGCAAGTCAAGTACGGCTTTGATTGTTTTGATTAAGGAGCGCTGACTCTGAGCTTGAAATTTGGCAGGATACGAGTTGCATTCCTGGTACTTGCAGTCTCAAAAAATTATTTACGAATAATTAAATATAAGAATTTTTTCCAAGATCACTGATGATGGGTATTTAGCAATACTCGAAACAGCTGTATGGTCAGCCAAAAATTCAATTAATTAAAATAATATAAAAAATAAAATTTTTGTTGTTGTGTTTCACTACTGTTCGAAAAACCTCTTTAATATACTATATTAATAATATAATATAATTAATTATATTATATTATATTAATTAATATATAATATAATATATTAATATATTAATAATATATATATTAATTAATATATAATATAATATATTATTATACTAGTATACAAATAAGTAGATTACTTTTAATGCACAGAAGCTATTCTCATGATTGTAAATTTATTATCAAAGAACATTTTTAAGTACATACCCATTAATATTATTAATTACTTTCATAAATCACTTTAAAGTTATAATTTAATAACTTTTTTGTTGAAAATATAACAAACAAATACGATCTTTAAATTTAATTAAAGTTGGATGCTGTGACTTCTTAGTTTGTAACTAATAAGCTTTTATTGCCTTCTCTCATAAGTCTGTAACCAATAACAAAAACATATTTACTTTACTATGAAAGCATTGATAGGGAAAGGATAAATGGAAGCATTTATCATGTTAGTACAAATTTTGAATATTGACGTACCATAAGCATTTATCTCACATGTTATAAGTTATGAAGAACAGTTATTGGCGACAAACCACAAATAGAAAGAAAATAGAAGAAATCTATTTTTGAAGGAAAGATTTTATATGAGGTTCTGTAGTTTCTTTGCAATCCTTTGTATGCAACTTGTTCGGTGTTAAGATTAAGCTTGTATTGTTTATTTTTTTTAACTATATTTTAATTACTTATATTTTAGTACTTGATAACTATTAAATACTTCAATATTTTAATATTGACACAAGATAGATTTTTAAGAATAGTAGTACATGTTATAATTTTAAAAACCATTTTCCATACGACTATTTTTTATTAAAAATTTTTTTAAAAAAATTTTAAAGTTTAAAATTTCTTTCCGTAATTTCAGTAATAATTTCATTAAAAAATAGCGTTGCAAAGTTTCATGAATTGACATAATTTGTCAAAGTAAAACATCCAATAAATATGGCACTTATTTCATACGTTTAACAAAAAGGTCTCTCAAACAGTGAGTAATGTTCTTTCAATAAAATTATTCAAATTATTTAAAATTATTTCTCTATTAATAGTTTTTCTAAGCAAAAGTAACGTGAACAGAAGAAGTCGGTTACATTCGTACTTCGCAAAAATATATATTTTTTATATTTTTGAAAAAATTTCATATATATATTCATATTGATAATCTTTGTAATCCAGTACTTTTTCTTCCTTTCTTATTTGAGTTTTTAACATCCCTTGTTTATGTATTGTTACAAAGTGTATAAAGACCACCATATATACTTAATTGAAACTATTCCTTATTATTTAATATATACATTAAATTCCGCTATTTTTTGATGTTATTAATTCTTGCTCTTCCAGTATTATTTAAGAAAAAAACCATCATAATTCTGTTTTTAATTAAATGTAGGTCATGCCTCAGCAAAGGTATTGTCCAAATTGTAAGAGACCTGTAATGGCAATCGTTGAATACGAAATTTCTCCAGTGACACATTTGATGGCCATTTGTATATGCCTTCTTGGGTAAGTTCAACAAATTGTGTGACACTATTTTTTTTTGTTAGAAAAATTTGACAATAAAAGATATTTTATGAACTAAAAACTCGTATTTGAACTTATATATTTGACTACTATGTTGTGAATAAACGAGTCAGTGCGCTTGAACACGTTTACTCTCTACTAACTGCGAGGTTTCTTTATAACCCCTCGCTTTAACTGGATTATTTAACACTAAATAAACCGTTTGTAAGATAGGAGAGATATTTGAAAATAAATCTAAACCCAATCATCAGATCTTTTCATTTTCCGATCTAAGAATCATTCTTATGGTAATATAAAAATTTTTTATTTTTTAGCTATATATTTTAAAATATATAAAATTTTTTAGGTATATAGTTGAAAACATTTAGGTGGCCAAAAAGGGCCGAAAAATTAAATAAATAAAATTTTTTAAACTAGAGTATAAGTGTTAGACTTAGAATTTTGAGCCTGTTAGACAAAAAATGAGCGTGTCAATACTTTGAATTATTGATAGGTTGTCAGTTCTAAACGTGGTACTTTTAGTCCACAAATATTAAACATGGACTAATAAACCAATGAGATATTTCAAAAGACAACTCATGTGGAGTATTTAGCAATACTCGAAATAGCTGTATGTTTAGTCAAAAACTCAATTTTATATAAAGAGATTGATATTGCAATTTATTAATTGTTAAAAAAATTTATATTAATAAATTATTTTTTCGCCATAACTAACTTCAAAATAAAATTTAATTCACATGAATTATAAAATCGTTTATAACATATAAATCAAAGTAGTAAAAATTTTTCATACATAATCTTATAAAATATTATAATACGAATACTTATAATAAAACTTATTGATATATTTATATTTTTCCTATGTTTCTTACAGAGGTTGGTGTTGTTGTTGTTTTCCATATTTTTTGGATTTTTGCAAGAGTGCTGAATATTACTGCCCACATTGTGGTACTCGATTAAACTGAAAGAGTCTAGACCTTTAAAAAGTATAGACATTTAAAAACGAAAAGAAATTGGATGGCTTTTACGAAGTAAAACTAAGAAATGTATTTTGAAATTGAAACTTTTTGAAATAAATAACTGTAATAGATTTATTTAATGGTATATATATTTTTGAAAGCATATAGTATACATACAGAGTATAAAAAGCAGAGTATACATACATTAATTATTTAAAATTTAGAGAATATGAATAGCAAAGAATGAAAGAACAAACTCAAAAATTTGGTTAATTTATTGAAATTTGGCTGACCATACAACGCTGTTTCGAGTATTGCCAAGTACTCATCATTAGTGTTCTTAAAAAATATTCGAATTTTTTAATTAGTTTATAGTCCGTATAGAATATGTTCGGACGACAAGTACCAGGCTTAGAACCTTCTGAAAAAATACGATTATTCATCCCTTCAAATTTAACAGGCACGAGTTCTAAGCCTGGCACTCGCAGTCCAAACAAATGATCCAAAACTACCAGTTTGCTTAGTTGTCTTCGTTTTTTCTTGCAAATCGGTCTATAACATGTATGCAACGAAATCGAACCATTTATAAGACAAATCATGACAGGCGATAAATAATGGATAAAATACGATAATATCCAAATCAAGCGGTCATGTCCAAAAGTCGATGACCACCCATAAATGACCTTAAAGATTGGATTGACAGCAAACAAGATTGTTTCAAGTTTGATTGGAGTGAAAGGGAATTGTCTATTACAAACCTCTCCACCCTGGTGCAACGCTTAATATTGTCCTCTACTGGTAAAAACTCGAGTATTTGAAGGAAACAATCATAGAAACGTGACCAGAAAAACTATTAGCCACCAGCAAAAGAATTATCTTCTATCATAATGTCAGGTTATACACATCTTTGTTGACTTGCAACAAATTGACGGAACTTGGTTGAGAAGTTATGATCTATCTACCGTATAGCCCAAATAGTGCACTGTCTGATTATCATTTATTTCTGTCTTTTAAAGTGGCAAAATGCTCTTGGTGCTGTTTGCATGAGCCCGGGGGAGGGAATGCCTTCAATCTACCAACTAATTAGT